TGTGGCTTATGAACTTTCGTCAGTTCAATATTCATGTCGAAGCTTCCATTTACTGCTCCAAGAGTAGCTGAATAAATCTGTACATTGGTGGTGGATGATCCAAGCATCATGTCAGTTCGTTTAGTCAGTGTTTCTTTAGGCCTTTTTTTTAGAAGATTGATTAGCTTGTTCGAGGCGTACGAGCTTCCGGCACCGGTGTCGAGTAAAGCATGCGTTTTTATTCCGTCGATTTCTACAAGAATGATGGGATAAACTACTTCTTTGTTTTCTGGTTGATGAACTGTCAGAACACCTTCGGTTTTCACTTCCTTTGGTAAGCTACAGATCGAGGTGTGGTGTTGCTTACTACGATGTTGACAGGTCGCGGTGCTTTTGCATTCCGATGATTTGTGCGGACCAGTGCAACTGAAACAGAGCCTTTTTGTACCCAGAAATTTTCTGCGTTCTGTCTGTGAGGTAATTTTAGCACATTCTGAGGCTTGTGATCTTCCGCTTGGCAAAAAACACATTTTCGTGTCCTTCTCTGGTTTGTTTGGAACACGGGGTCTCGTTTCCGGAATGACTGTGAGTCTTCTAATTTAAAGTTGTCAATCGGATTTCGGCGCGTCTATTGTCGAAGGGCTTCAGTGAATTTGACAAAATCCCAAGTTTCCCATTCTGGATCGTTTCGGACAAGGTCTCCTCTGATGATGAGCAATTTATCGATCGTTGAGGAAATCATCCCGTTTACTTCATGGAGCGAGTTTAGTGTTTCCAGGGACTGTACGCTGTGGAATAGTTTGTCGTGAAATTCGTAAATTCGTTTGGGGGTTCCGGTCGGATTGTATGGCAACTCAAGAATTTCTTTCACATAGGCTTTCACGATTTCACTCTGCTTCCCAAACCGGTCTTTTAGGATCGATACAGCTCTGTTGTATCCTTCAACTGAATGGGGCAAGGCCTCGACTGTTTTCCTGACTTTGGCGTTCAGCAATTCTCTTTGGTACGTGAACTTGGTCACAGGCGGCACATTAGTTTTGTCAATAGTTTCGGAATATTGACCCCAGAATCTCGGCCAGTCGGCGTAAGTCCCATTAAACTTGGTAATGACGAGCTTGGGTAGTTTCGCTCCACCAACAGAGGTTTCCACGGACGAATTTAGGTTTCCAGCCTTGATTTGAAGGTCTTCCTGTAATTTTAGCTTCGTCTCATGAAGTTTGATTTCGAACTGCATTTTCTCTTCTCGTTCTTGCCTTTCTGCTTCTATTTTTCTATTTGCCAACCATTATTCAAGGTTTTCGATGTGACCGTCCGCTCCTTCTATTTTTTCGGTAATCGCATCATTCCAATCGCTAATATCTCCATTGTTGAATTTTGCCTCTATCTTCAGTGCTTCAACCGTTCTTCTAGCACTGTCAACTTCAGCGAAAAGTTCCTTTAGATTCGTCAATTGTCTCTTTATTGCAGACTGTTTCTCGCCCTTGAGGGCTTGATCGGCCTTTTATTCAGCTCTTTGAATTTGTTTTAATTTGGTTTTGAGTGTAGATTCGGCGTTATCCATGGTTTGAGGTTTAGGCGTTGATGCGTCGGCTTCGCTATTTGTTCGAATCGTCAAGGTATAAGGTAAATTGAGGACGTTTAAATTTTACTCACAAGGTCCCTTCGTGGTCGCCACGTTTCCTGGAATTCTCTGGCCGCAAGAGAGAGTGTCCAAGAGAAGTCTCTTGGAACTTCGCTATCTGCTCTACCAGCTGGGCGACCGCAATTCGTGAGGATTCAAACCTCATTTTATTCAACATGGCTACAAAATACCGCTCTTACAACAGAGTAGAAAGACATTTCTGAGTATAATAAGGTGAGGAATCAAACCTCAGACTTTGCAATATGCTCTACCACCTGAGCTTGATTAAAATGTGGGTCGACCTTTGTAAGAAATTATACGTTAGACGTGTGAAATGAAAATATCCGGTCGTTGTCTTTTATGAGGATTCAAATCTCAGATCTACCGATTTTGCTGTCATATAATCTACATGCTTAAGAATATGGAACTTGTGCAGGAAAATCAAAGTAACTGGGTCAACGACGATAAGGATTCAAACCTTGGACCTTAAAACTTCGCATTCTGCTCTACTCGCTGGGCTACTAGCTGGGCAGGAAACCTCAGACTTTACAATATCGGTATCAAATGCTCTACGTCCTCTACCAACTGAGCTCAGATAAAATGTGGATCGACAATTGTAGATAAATTACACAATCTCCCACAACAAGAGGGGGTAGCGGCTTTGCTTTCTTATCATGGTACCTCTTGTTCTGTCGCTTCTTCTTGACTGAAGCTCGTATGATGCTTGAGGTTGGTATCACGTGGGGTTAAAGTAACTCTGATTTCACTGGTATAACTCTTCTTGTTCTTCTGGAGTTCAATTTCTCATTTGGTGATGCCAACTCATCAGGTGTATTCCTTTGTTCCAAAATAGCCATCCAGGGGTCTAGACTCATCTCGAGTATCCTCTTAACTTGTTTGACTGCAGCTTCCGCTGTACCGTTTCCTTTTGGATGGTGTGGTGATGAGGTATAGTGATGAAAGTTCCAACTCTCTGAAAACTCCTTAAATTCCTTGCTAGCATATTGAGGACCATTGTCTCATATCACCACCTCAGGGACTCCCTGCCGGGTGAAAATATTCTTCGTCTGTAAGATTGTGGACTCGGCATCAGTATCATTCAGTTGCTCTAAGTCCCAGTATTTTGAGAGATTATCCACAACTACCAAGTAGACGTCTTTCTTCACATTGAAAAGATCAGTACCGACTATTTGCCATCTTCTCTTTGGAATAGGTTGGCTCTGCATGGTTTCTCTAGGTTGATCTAGCTTAGCTTCCTGACATATTGAACAGTTATCTCAGAGATCTTTGATATCATGATGAATCGATGGCCAATAAAATGTATCTCTTGCGAGTCTCATGCATCCCTGTGCTCCTAGGTGAGCGGAGTGTGTTTTTTCTAACATCGGTGGGCGCATAGCCGTGGGAATGAGCACTCTCGTTCCTCTGTAGATTATTCCATCCTGAACTGCTAGTTCATCTCTGTACGGCCAGTAGTCTCGGACATTGGGCGGTACTTGCGTCTTGTCCTCAGGCCATCCATTAGCTATAATTTCAGCTAAGGTCATGAGATTTCCATCTTTTGAGGTTGCTGTTGCTACTTCCTGAAGGGTTGCATCTGTCATGTTATGAAAGATATTTGGATCTGTTCCTTCGATCTCTTTCATGAGAAGTTCTTCTGCGTGAAGTGTAAAGACTTCATAATCATCTATTTCCTTCTTTTGCGTTCGGCCGTTTGGGAGGGCAGATCTTGACAGATGATCACTTATGTACATCTGAGTTCCCTTTTTGCACACAATATTCAGGCGGTACTTTTGCAGTCGTAGCATCATGCGTTGTAACCTCTTGGGCGTGCTGTTGATACTTTTGGCAAGTATGGTTTCTAGAGGCTTATGATCTGTGACTGTTGTGATCTTTTCTCTTCCATGGAGATAGTGGTCAAATCGTGTACAACCAAAGACCAGTGCAAGGTATTCCTTCTCGATCTGAGAGTAACATCTCTCAGTCTCAGTCATAGTGCGGCTAGCAAATGCCACTAGTCTGCCAGCTTGAAGTAGAACAGCTCATAGTCCATAGTCACTTGCATCTGTCTCAATCGTTAATTCTTCCTCCAAGTCGTAGTAACGGAGTAGTGGCGGTTCTTGAAATCAGCTGAGTCAACTTGTTAAAGGCATCTTGGTGAACTTTCGATCAAATGAATTGGTTTTGCTCCTTGGTTAGGTTTCTGAGAGGTTCAGTTACGTTGGACAACTGAGGTAAAAATTCGCCCAGATAATTGATCATTCCAAGTAGTCTTCTTACTGCGTGGTCTCGGCATCTGAGTGATGGCTTCAACTTTGGCTGGGTCTGGTAAAATACCCTCAGAAGTCAAGATATGACTACAGTACTTCAACTTCTGTTGTTTGAAGACGAACTTGTCCTTGTTTAGTTTGAAGTTTCGCTCCCTGCATCTCTGTAGCAACGCAATCAGATTTCAGTCATGGTCTGCCAAGGCTTCTTCATGGGTGTTTCCTGCTCCAGTTACTAACAAGTCATCACCTATAGAAGTTACTCCTTACAGGCCCTCGATGATTTCATTTACATGTCTCTGAAATTCTTCTGGTGCACTACATATGCCGAAAGGCATCCTAAGCCAATTGTATCTACCAAAAGGGGTGTGAAATGTTGTTAATTTGCTAAAGTCCTCTTCTAGCTTCACTTGCAGAAACCCATCTTTAGCCTCCAGGACTGTGAACACTTGCGCTTTAGCAAGCCTGGAGGTCACATCATCAATGGTTGGAAGGCAGAGCTTTGGTATTTTGATATGCTTGTTCAATTCTCTGGGATCCAGGCAAACACGTAGTTGGCCATTGCGCTTCTTCACATATACTGCACTGCTCACTCAGTCTGTTGGCTTATCAACTTTCGCTATGTGGCCTTTCTGCTCCATTTCATAAAGTTTCTTCTTGAGGCGCATCTTGTTTCGGTATTGCTCCTATCTGTTAGTTCAATCTTGTAATTTCCAATGTACCATAGCCCAGTGAATACATCGTTGTGTTCTTGTAAAATGTCATCCTTGGTCAACCCTTTCACGTTGGAAACTGAGTTGACGAATAATTCTCTTTTAATAGAGAAGAGTTCCAACTCCTCACACATTTTTCCTGATAACAGTGAACTTGGAGCATCATCAATCACTAAGAATTTTGCTCTGGTTATTTTTCCACCAATCTGGATGTCAAGGTAGATTTCACCTTTGGGAAACACACGTTCTCCATTGTACGCTTTCAAAATGGCACGAGTTTTCTTCAAGTCTGGTCGATTTTGAATCTTTATAAAATCTTCCATTCTCAAGCAATTAGCCTCTGATACGCTATTAATGTGCATGGTCACCTCAATCCAATTACTTGTCTGTCCACTTCTCAGCGGAGGTTGAATCATGTATTTAGAACGGCTGCTGTCAATGACTGAATACATGCATTAAACTTCATCATCAGTGATTGCTGGTTCGGCTTCTTCAATTCGATGAATACTCCTCGTAGGTTTCTTGGAAACGCTCTTCACAGGTTTCTGTGTTCTCCTTTGAGATTCTTGATCTCGACTTCTGCACATCTTAGCAAAATGGTTCTTCATGTTACACTTGCTGCATATTTTTCCATGCCGGACACTGGCGCAAATTGTGGTTCGTTCTACAATATTTACATTATTTCACCGTTTCTACTCGTCGTGTAAAATCTGGTTTCTTTCCTTTGTACTTGACAGCGTGTACTCAAGTTTCTATTTCTCCATCAACCTTTTTTCAGTTGATCGCTGGCTATTTCTGCAGCTCTAATTATGTCTAAGGCTATATTGAGAGGGACAGCTTTCTCACGGAGTAGTCGTATTCTGACTTCATGGCTTTCGATTTCAATGACCAGTCTGTCTCGAATCAGTTCGTCACACAGAGCACCATAAGCACAGGTTGACGCTAGCTTTCGCAGTCTGTCAAGGTATTGATCGATATTTTCATTTTCTTGGTTGGCACTGTTGAACGGGTAACACTCAAAAATAATATATTCCTCTGTTGTTCAAAATGCTGCGTCAGGGCTTGCAAGAAGCTATCAGGATTTGTGGGATCAGCTACAGGCAGATTTTTAGCTATTTGTTAAGTCTCTCTTCCCAGAACTATCTTAAGAGTTTCCAAATGACTGGCTTGGGTTTCTTATCAAGTTCAGTTGCTATCTTATAGCTCTCCCAACTCTCTCTGAAAAAAGTCCAATTCTATGCCAGGTTCCCCTTCAGACTGGAGGTGGCGTTGGTAACTGACTGTACATCATCATCTGTGTAGGTAGCACAACAGGTTGCGCAAGAGGTGCTTTTGGAGGATTCTCTTGCACGGGAGGGTCCTCTTGATAATCCATCCTGTGAATTCTTTTTTTTTCCTCGTGAGACGTTCGCTAAGTGTATGCTAGGCTCTGGCCTTTCGCAGAAATACAGTTTCCTCAATGTGTGAACCTCGAAATTCAATTCAAATTTCACAAGTGGCAGTGCTAAGGCTTCCGGTCAGTCCAATAACACCGCTAGATTCTTTTAGCGCCCGCGATTAATTCTTCTGTCTTCGCTTGGATCGACGAAATCTGTCTTCAATTTTGTAATCCACTTCCTGACACCATGAAGTGTGGACGTCTTTTATTCCGCAGCATACACCTTTATTGATATCTGTCGGGCTATACCAGCTTTTAAACTACTCGCTACATCTAGTGACAAGGTCTGCTTTTATATGTACGGTTGAGGATCTAGAACGTTCCGTAACATTACAACAGATTCCATTTATATATTGATTCAGGGATGACTCAGCATGACACAGTTACTTCTAGAACATTTTTGAAGGTCACACTACAAAAATTGTCAAATGAAAATTTGTGGTCGACTTTTATGAGCATTCAAACGTCAGATCTACCATTTTCGCTGTCAGATACTCTACCTGCTAAATTTTACAAACCTGGTGCAGTTATTGTTTTTTTCACACTGACATATGTATTTTGTTCGTTTTTGAGTGTGTGATCAACAGATTATTCAGATGCAGTTATGGTTTTGCTGAAATCAGACACCTGGTAAATTTAAGTCAGCGATCTAGTGGACCAATCAATACATCTTTACAAATTTGGACAGCTGCTCAGCTGTTCAGGTAAGGATTAAATCAGAGATGTCGAAGATTCATGAAGTATAATTGAACTGTTAAAATCATAAATATATCATCTTTAAGTTAAATATCAAATGAAACTGAACTTTTGGATTCAAACTGGTGGAGAACTGCAAGTATATTTCAGTGACAATCATGAAATGTATATTTCTTGAAGAAAAGAAAGTTCTAGGTCATAACCATTTTAAGCCTAATATTTAATTCTTTAGTACGAAAAATGAAATGATAAAACTCATTACCAAACAAACGAATCAAACCAAAAACAAAGAAACAATTTGATGCAATTATTTCCCCCCGTTGCTCACAATGATCAAAGAAAATTTCTACATGAATAGCACTAAAGGTGCCACTAAAAGAAAAGAAATGTAGCTTAGAAGTAGACATATTTTCCCTCTTTCAAGTTTTTATTAATTTATTCATATGTTTTTCTATATTTCTGACCCCTATTTTTGGAATGTTTAGTATCTAAATGTTTACAACAGAGAGAGAGGATGAGTTTAAGATATTTCAATTTGATGTGGACGTCTATCAGCTCAAGTCATTTACCTCAAGTACTCTTCTTTTTCAGCTCAAGGATCGTGTTCCAGAAAAAGACACTTTGCTCCCAAGGGGCAAGTTGGATCACAAAAAGTAAATGGTACTATATATAGGATAGTAA